GAGCAGCCACAGCTGCTCTGGGCAACCTGTACCAGGGCCTCCCCACCCTCAGTGGGAAGAATTTCTTCCAATCTGAATCTCCCCTTCTGCAACTTAAAGCCATTCCCCCTTGTCCTGTCCTTCCAGGCCCTCATCCCAGCTCCCTCACCAGCTCTCCTGGAGCTCCTTTAGGCACTGGAAGGTGCTCTTAAGTTCTCCTCAGAGCCTTCTCTTCTCCAGGCTGAATATCCCCAGCTCTCTTACCCTGTCTCCAGAACAGATGTGTAACTGCTGTTGTTTACACATTGGTGTAAATCAAAGTGCACAATATTTCTTTAAGGTTGGGGTCATTTAGCTCAAGAACTGGCCTTTGTGTGTGAGCCTGCTTCTGTTCCTGTTCAGTCTTCACACAGCTGCTGGAGTCTCTGTTACAGTCACCCCATTCCCAACGTAATGATGGTTTCCCCTTTCACACTCTCCCTCCTCACACCTCACTTGCCTTCCAGGTGACACAATAACAGCTCTCCTCTTTTTTCCTGTTTTCTGCAGTGAGGCTGTCTGGGAGAACATGGCTCGCATGTGTGTGAAGACTCAGAGGCTCGATGTTGCCAAAATTTGCCTGGGGCACATGGGTCATGCAAGAGGAGCCAAGGCACTGCGGGAGGCTGAGCAAGAGCCAGAGCAGAAGGCCAGGGTGGCTGTGCTGGCCATCCAGCTGGGAATGCTGGTAAATCCCACAGCCAAGCTGTGAATGGTTTATATCAGACCCTGAAAAATTACTCAGTGAAAGAAACTGCTGACTAAAGGAAACATCTTTTAAAGATTGTTTTATGTGTGAAACATTTAACAAAAATATGCGTTCTTGGGGCATAAGCCTCTTCCAAGCTTGGTCATTCTAGGTCTCACTGGATTTAAAAAAGGCTGTATTTTATTATAGTTAAAATGTTTCAACAAACATGTTTTAAGCTCTGATATGGAACACAAGTTCCATTTTTAAATTATTTGTTTCTACAGTGAATGGATAGAATTGTGTGCTGTCACAGAGTAAGGGCTGACCTGAGGCTGTTGAAAGAGTTTAAGGAAAATAGACTTTTCCTGTGGGGCTAGACAGCTCTGGTCAGTCACATTCATTGCCTGTGCTGTCCCAGGGATGCCTAGTCACACAGATTTCTATCCTGACCTCTCCCACTGTGTGAGCAGGAACATGGCTGGATCCAGCTCAACTAGAGGACAAGATCTGGCTGTTCCCCCATCTGGAGCCTAACTTGGCAGCAAATACACCCCGAAGTGAACCTTGTGTCTCATGTCTGCCTTCATTCCCCTTGATTGCCAATAGAACTGATATCTAAGCTGGGTTTGAGACCAGCATTGTCACATGGATAGAAAACTGACTGGTGCTAGTTAGAAGGGAATTAATATTCCACTAATTTAATACCTTCAGCAATGATCCATAAGAAAGCCAGAAATTTTTAGTTTGGAAACCATAAGAGATCCAGGCATGTGATCCGTCAGACGGAAAAACTGGAAAAGAATTTATGAAATAACCCACAGTCTATAGGAAATACTGAACTAGATAAAAAAAATAGCAAGGTGCTATGACAGCAAAAATCAGTTTGGGGCCACGTTTGAGGAGATGCCAAATCCTGGGGCCTGGATTTGGTAACTCCTGTCTATGTATTCAGGGCAGCTACAGCTGGAATGATGACCTCCAGCTTTTAAGTATCTCATTACAGAAAAGATAGTTGATGAACTGGAAAAGGTTCAGACAAAATCAATGCAAATTTCTCAGCTCTTGGAAAGATTTCACAGAAAAGGAAGTCTTGAAAATGGCCAGATCATTGGAATTTGGTTTGAAAAGGTATTTAGCAATCTGTAGTTACTTGATGAGTATGAGAGAGAGAAAAAGACAGAGAGTAACTATTCTGAGTTAAAGGTAAGGAAAAAAGGAAAATTCAAACTAAATGTTTGTAAAGGCTTCCTGGCAGAGAAAACTCTGAGGCTGAGAAGTGTCAGTGCTTCTTTTCTTGGATATTTAGATCTGTTTGGAGAGGTAGAAAGGAACTACAGCAAAAAAAGCAGTTTAACTGCTTTTTTCCATCTTGTACAGAGTCTTAGGGCAGGCATCTTCCTTTTCCACTTTCTGTGCTTTTTAAAATTTGAAACAATAAGAGACAGAAAGCATTTTTCTGTCTTGGACAGATAATCTCAATTTACTAAATATAGTGTTCAGCTGGACAGCAGTTGGGTGGAGCAGGAAAATGCTCCTTCCACAGGAGTTAGAACCTCTCAGAGAATAAAAATAATAGTTCCAAATTTTCTCGCCCTTGCGTCAGCACTGGCAAAACCCTCCTGTTCTAATTCTGCAATAAATGATTAACATTTATTCCCAGGAATGGAGCTCACAATGTTGTCCACAAACAGCATTGATACCTCTGAAATCTGCTGGGAGGCCACAGGGGTTCCCTCGCTTGCAACACCTTAGTTCTCAAATCCTGAGTGCCAGATCTTCCCTTAAGCCTCACCCCTGAGTGGGCAGCATGATCAGTAGCTGTACCCCCACCAAAGCATGTCTCCGTTTTTGGTGATTCACACTCCTGATGACAGCATTTGATCATTGATGCCTTGCTTGTTTCACTTCCCTCCCCCCCAGGCAATCCTGTACAATAAATGTCAGGATCAGAGTGCTTTCCTTATTTTTATGTAGCCATCCTGTTTGCCAATAACATGCTATCGCAGACCAGAGGGTTTAACTAACTATATATATGCTTTATATATATAAACCATATATTTAGTTGGTTAAACCCTCTGACTGAATGATTGTTGTTTTAATTGCACTGCAATGCCCTGCACTAATAAACTGCTCCAAGGAGTTCCTGGTGTGACTGACAGGCAGCATGGCTGGGGCTGACAGGGATTTTGGGTGTTCCTCTCCCAGGAGGACGCAGAGCGGCTGTACAAGGACTGCAAACGGTATGACCTCTTGAACAAGTTCTACCAGGCCTCCAACCAGTGGCAGAAAGCCATTGAAACGGCCGAGGCTCACGACCGGGTTCACCTGCGCACCACGCACTACAACTACGCCAAGCACCTGGAGGCAACTGGGCAGCAGAACCTGGCACTCACCCAGTAAGCACCAGCTGGGTGTAGCTGGGGGACTGGGAGCCTCTTTCTCCTGTGAAGATGGGTGAAGGAGGATGTTTGAGATGGCCAGTAAAAATTAATTATTTTCCTGTTTCTGGTGCCTTCTATCTCACAGAGTGAAAGCATTCCCAGTGAAACCTTCCAGCACCCTCCCATGCAAATAATGTGTAGTGTCTTAAAAAGTCAAGAGTCTGTTTGGGCCAGTAGAGAAAACCCACTCATATCCAGTCCTGTGTTTGTCTCTGGAAGACCACTGCGATCTTTTCTTTCCTTTTCTATGAAAAAAAAATTACTTGCTTTTCCCGAGAGTCCCAGCAGACACAACTGCTGCAGCAGAATTTAATTTTATTTGGTTGCTTCTGGTGGCTGATCCTCTCCTGTTACGGCCAAGTCCCATGAGAAGTTAGTCTTGTATTTCTTGTTTGAGATCTTGTTTTTATATGAGTTTTCCAATATGAAAGTTCCCATCATCATTATCATCATCATCCAGTAAGGTAAATTCTGTTCAGAATCAAAGCAGAACACTGCTGTGCTCAGGCAGACCCACTGATGGCCATGGTGGGCAGTGGGGTTAGGAGACGTGGGTGCTGGGGAAGGGCAGTGACCTCTCAGCAGTGGCAGAGGCTGATGTTGCAGTGGGTGGTACAATGTGGAGCCTGAGCCATTTGTGACCTGTCCAGCCAGGTGTGCTTGATGCTTGGAGAACTTTCTGGAATACTTCTTTGGGACATCATTGGCACTTTTAAAGTATTTTGTGTGCTGTGAAGATCACACCTCCCTTATTCCAAGTGCCTGGCAGTACCATTGAATTTTTAATTTTTGATGGTGCTGGTGGACTGCAACTGGTCTTACAGTGAACTTATACAGCTGAAGCAGTTGTTGCCAGTGTTGTCTGTTGATGGCTGGCAAACAAGATTAAATAGATGTTTTACACAGAGAGAGCTAATAAGGAGGCTGTCTTTTCACATCTAATATGTTCTTCTTCTCTACAGCTATGAAAAGTCAGACACACACAGGTTTGAAGTACCTCGAATGCTCTCTGAAGACTTACAAGCCCTGGAGAACTACATCAACAAGATGAAAGACAAGTCAGTGCCATTCTTGTTCCTTCTACAGGGGCTGTCAGGTCTGACATACAATTTGTGATGAGTGCAACGATGACAGAGTGTGAATCTTCTCAGTCTCATTCAACCCCTGCCTCATCCACTATGACCCTCCAACAGCTTTTCAGGTTTATGCTGCACTTGCACAAGAACTGCCACATTGGTTATCTGGGCTGAATTCCTGTATAGTGCAGATCTTGGCAGTGTCACACTTGGGTTGGGGTAAACCATGAACACACTAAGAAGTGTGTTCAGTCTTTAGTTCAAGCTCTCTAGGAGTGAAAAATAGCATCTGTCAGTTCTCACTGCTGCAGTTAATATTGTTGCTTTTCCAGAAGCCTGTGGAAGTGGTGGGCACAGTACTTGGAGAGCCAAGCAGATATGGAGTCTGCATTGAAATACTATGCACTGGCTCAGGATTATTTTTCCCTAGTCCGTGTTCACTGTTTTCAAGGCAACATTGACAAGGTAAGGCAGCCTGCTTCCACCTGCTTCCAGAGTTCTTATTCCTGGGAAGAGCATGGACATGAAGTAAAGCTGTACAATTCCCTCTGTAGGCTGCTGAAATAGCAAATGAAACGGGGAATGGGGCAGCCTCCTATCACCTGGCACGCCAGTACGAGAGTCAGGAGGACATCAAGCAGGCCGTGCACTTCTACAGCCGAGCCCAGGCGTTCAACAACGCCATCCGCTTGTGCAAGGTACATGGAGAGGCGCAGCGTGCCCACACCAGCACAGGGTTCTGCCCTTTGTAGTATAAGGTGTTTGTCTGTTCTGTCCCATAAGACACTGCCTGCTCTTGAACAGTCCATGATGAAGCTACTCCTGGTTTCTGCTGACATCTACCAAAGGTGGATCAATAAAGCCTTGGTGGTTTGGAAATGTATTTTCTTAAACAGATCAGAAATTCCCTGAAAGAAATAATCATAATCAACGCTGAAAATCACTTGGGTTGTAGAGGTTTTACACAGAAGGGGGTGAGAGTTTAATACTATGGGACAGCATGAAGACACAGGCTTGTAAGAAGTTGGAATTATGAAATTTTTATGTGCACACCCAGACTCAAACCTTTGCTTTTGAATAGGCAAATGATTTAAATGATCAGCTGATGAACCTGGCTCTCCTGAGCTCACCAGAAGACATGATAGAGGCAGCCTGCTATTATGAGGAAAAGGGGGATCAAATGGACAGAGCTGTTATGTTATACCACAAGGTAAATGTTTTTTGGTAAAAATTCCCAGATTTTACACTGAAGCAGTTTCTACAGCAAAGGAATGTTAAATCAGCTGCGGTGCTTACTATGTCCTGCTTATTAGCAATTTTTTCATGGTGAATAATGCTTTATTAAGCCAGAGTGTCCTGTGAACTGGTTCTGTAGTGCTCATTCTAGTCTTTGAAGCCTCATTCCTAATTTTGCAGGCAGGACACTTCTCCAAAGCCCTGGAGCTGGCCTTTGCCACGCAGCAGTTTGGGGCCCTACAGCTCATTGCTGAGGACCTGGATGAGAAATCCGACCCAGCCCTGCTTGCCCGCTGCTCCGGGTTCTTCATTGAACATGCTCAGTATGAGAAGGCAATGGAGCTGCTGCTCACAGCCAAGAAGGTGAGCTGAGCCCTCTGGTCCCCTCTGCACAGGTCGAGGAGCACAACAGGTGTGTACCTGCACGCAGCCATTCATCTGTGCAGATAAACAGATACAAGAGACACTTGTAAAGTTTCAAGATTCCTCCTAAGCCAGTGATTCAGAGGCACTGGCAGCTCAGCCTTGCCAAAATGCTGGAGACCAGATCAGTCTGTGCTCACTCCTTTTCAACAAGCTCCTATGGCTGGCTTTCTTCTACACTTTGAAAGGGTACCATAGGCCTTTTCTGGACTACAAGCTTTTGTATAGCCTACTCAGAATTTGTTCCTATATGAGAAGTACCAAAACATTCAACAAAATCTTTCAATGTATTTGTATTTGCTGAAAATGTTACTGTTGATCATGCCTAACAAACCTGACTTGTATGTCTCTGACAATGTCATGTTCAGAGTCAAAATGGCTGAATCTTTAGTGGCACACTTGTGTGAGAGCAATGTTGTTATGGAAGAACAAACATGTTCTTCTTAGGAAACAAATGGGACAGTGCCTGAAGAGGAGCTTATGTTGAGACACATAACTGCAGCCCAATGTTCCAGACAGAGCATCCTCAGCTACTTGTGTTTCTAGCTGATTTCTGTAGGTACACCACAAGCAAACGTGAGGTATCATGGTAGTGTTTGCAACATCTAATTGCTCTCTTGCTCCCATCAGTACCACGAAGCTCTGCAGCTCTGCCTGGAGCAGAACCTAACCATCACAGAGGAGCTGGCTGAGAAGATGACAGTCTCCAAGGAATCCCAGGATCTCTCTGAGGATTCCCGGAGGGAGCTGCTGGAGCAAATTGCCGACTGCTGCATGAGACAAGGCAACTACCACATTGCCACCAAAAAATACACACAAGCAGGAAACAAGATAAAGGTCAGCCTGGATAGCCTCAAAACAAGGGTGTTTTGAAAAGTAAACCTTGAAGCAGACTTCCTACAGTAGCTACCCAGATGAAACTTCTGAGCCATCTTGATGGTGTTTTTGCATTCACAATATTTTCCATCTCTCCCTCTGTGCCAATCTGTCCCTTGCCAGGCTATGAGGGCATTGCTGAAATCTGGAGATACTGAGAAAATTGTCTTCTTTGCGGGAGTTTCCAGACAGAGAGAAATTTATATCATGGCAGCCAACTACCTGCAGTCACTGGATTGGCGTAAGGATGCAAAGATTATTGCAAATATCATCAACTTCTACACCAAAGGAGGGGCCCTTGACCTCCTGGCAGGTTTCTATGATGCATGTGCTCAGGTACTGCCCTTTCTGTGACTGGTGAAGGTGTTTGGTTTATTGGCTCTGGAGCAAGACCATCTCCTTCCTCCTCTTGCAGGTAGAAATTGATGAGTATCAGAACTATGAAAAAGCCCACAGAGCACTGACAGAAGCATACAAGTGCCTTTCCAAAGCAAAGGCCAGAAGCCCTGTGGAACAGGAAAGCAAACTTGGTCACCTGCAGAGCAGGATGAGTCTGATGAAGCGGTTCATCCATGCTCAGAGGTGAGCTGCAGCATGGATAGCACAGAAACTAAGTGACAGAAATATCATAGCAGGATAGAAGTTGTAACAGCACCTAGAGTTTAATAAATAATTTGGAGCTTGCTGCAAAAAATAAAGCTGCTGATACATTTTTCTAGCAGGGAAACCATAATGTGATTTTTAAAAGTGCATTTAAAATGTTGCATTAAAGATGGAAAGGTAACCTGAAAGAGAAGAATATAGACCAAGGGAGGTGAAGCCAGAAAGGTGACTATCATAAAATCACAGAATCACTGACTGGTTTGGGTGGGAAGGGACTTTAAAGACCATCTTGTTCCAAAAGTCTGCCATAGGCTGGAACACCTTCCACTACCCCATGTTCTTCTAAGCCACCTCCAACCTGGCCTTGAACACTTCCAGGGATGGGGCAGCCAAAGCTTCTCTGGGCACCCTGGGCCAGGGCTTCCCCACCCCTCCCAGGGAACAATTTCTTCCCACTATTCCATCTAACCCTGCCCACTGGCAGTGGGAAGCCATTCCCCCTTGTTTTGTCCCTCAGGGCCCTTGTCCCAAGTCCCTCTCCAGCTCCCCCTGGAGCCCCTTTAGACCCTGGAAGAGGCTCTAAGGTCTTGCTGGAGCCTTCTCTCCAGATGAACACCCCCAGCTCTCCCAGCTTGGGTCCAGAGGGGCTCCAGCCCTTGGAACTCCTTCATGGCCTCCTTTGAACTTGCTCCAGCAATTCCATATCCTGCCTGTGCTGGGACCCCAGGGCTGGGAGGAACTCTGCAGGTGGGGGCATCATCTGAGCAGGGTGGGGCAGAATCTCCACCTGCCTTGCTGCCCACACTGGCCAATCAGCCCCAGGACAAGGGAGGTTTCTGGCTTTTGTTTGGGCTTCTGTCATGAAACCTAATGCAGTAAAAACTCTTCCCTGTCTTTAGCTGGACAAGCTGAATGCTCTCCTTCGGCTGTGACACTTCCTTTTCCCCTTTCCTAGAGTTTACCCTGAAGACACTGAAGAAGCAGTCAGGCAGTGTGAACTGCTCCTGGCTGAACAGGACTTTGACAATGCCATCCGGCATGGTGATGTCCTGGGATTTTTGGTTCAGCATTATGCACAAGTGGAGGAATTCCATACAGTAAGTAAAGTCTAATTCTTCTAACCTACAGAAGCCATATTGTTCACCTGTGCAGCTTGGTGGAGCATGGCTCTCACACAGGAAGATGTTCCATGGTAGGAACCTAAATGTGCAGCAGGGTGAGGCACAGCTCAGGAACTTTACCTCTATTTTTCATTCTATGGGAGAACAGAAAAGGAAAGCTTACAGGACACAGAGTGTAAATGGTGGTAGATTCTTAACCATTCCCAGTAATTCAATGAGAGTAGAGGGTAAGTCTGGGGGTGTGCTTCAGCAATGCCACCACACACTGTGTTTGCTACCTGGCCAGAGAAGAAAACTGTAAAATGGCAGTTATTTGAGGAAACAGTGAATCGCTCCTTCAGGGCAGATGTGCCACACACCCCCTGAACAGGTCCAGTGCCTGCTGCTCCAATGAAACATGAGGGTGCCAAGTGCAAGTTCCTCCAGCTGTGCTGATGAACTTCACTTTTAATGTGCAAAGTACAATAAATGGTTTACTGGGGCCCCTGTAGCAGTGCTCCCTCTGACAGTGATCTCTGCATTCCTTTAGGCTTATCGCTACCTGGAAGAGATGCAGAAAAGAATTCCAGCCTCGAACCTGAGCTACTATGTGTCCCCACAGACCATGGAGGCCGTGCACCGAGGAGCTGGTGTTCCCATGAGCCAAGCCCTGGCCCCAGCACACTCTGGCCATGGCAGCATGGATAACAGGGAGGAGGAAGAAGTGGCTGATGAAGTGGAGGACCCCTGACAATGATAATTTACCAAATGCAAAGCTGACTTTATTATCAGCTCATTTATTCCATCCTCACTGGGCGCCCAGATCAGTCACATGCTGTTGCCACACAGCTTTTTGGTTATTACCAAGAAATTTATTTTTCCTGCTTGACTGTACAAGCAACAGTATTAGAGTTAATATGTTCTCTCAAGCACAGCATACAGCAATTTACATGTTAGAATTCACATCCTGTTAGAAAGCTGGTTTTAGTATTTTAATAAATTTGAGGCAGAAAAACCCATTAAGAACTGCATATTTTAACTTCACTTTTTCTCAGTACAGAAGCGCTGAATAACTGAGGTGGAAACTGTGAGTTGCCTTTCAAGTACAACTGTGATCTGCTAAGATGCAGGTCTGTGATTCCTTAGAAGTGAGACCTTCTGAAAACAATCCCCATCCCATTTGTATAGGAGCTTGGTTAAAAGTCAAACTACCCACTCCTGCCGGCTGAAGGCAGAGTCTCCCCAACAAAAGCTTCTGTGTTTAAATAAATCAGAGGGTCATGTGGGCTAGAACTCCTTACAGACATCTGGGGTAAACCTCAGAGTCACAAAGTGCCTGGGTTGGAAGGGATCCTGGACGCCCCCTAGTCCAATCACTGCTCAAGCTGGGTCATTCTGAGTGAGTAAAGCTTCTTTCTTACTTTGAAGCTCCTTCTCTTGCAGTTACATCAAACCACTCTACTAGTCAGATTTTTGGAAGTCAGTTTCTTCCCTGGCCCAAGCATGACTGAGAGAAGTAAAGCTTAACGTAAGAACCAAGGTTCTGCTCACCTCTCTGCCGGTCACCGTGCCCTGCCAAGGAGCAATCACCAGGATACTCACCTTTCTTACAAACTAGCCCTTACACTTAGAATGATTTTTCTTTTTCATGTTTTGTGACTTGCTTCAAAACTTGGGGTGAACATGAAGTTTCTAAATTGCTTTCAGGGAAGGTTTGGGGAGATTTTAAGGTCAAAATCTGAGCATTATTTATTCTTTAGCAGAAACTTACTTCTCTACTAAGATAATGCAAAAAGAAATCCCTGTCCTATTCCTTCCTAACCACAGCCCAGTTCTAGCTCAGGCTGTTAAAGTCTGGCACACTTTCAGCACTTCAGTGTAGTTATCCAGTGCTTGCATCCCATCAGTAGAGCCATTTCTTCCACCCCTTCCAGCAGCAGACCAACAGCTCATCCCCCGAACTCCAGCTGCTCAGGGACGTGGGAGCCTTCGTAAGGGGCAGGTCAGTGGCAAGGGGCCCTCCCCAGCCCTCCTGTTTTTCTGGCAAGAAGGCTCTGTGAGATCTTCCCTGTATTTTTAGCTGAGTGCTCAGACTTGCCAAGGTTATAAATAGCTGGGGTGGGGGCTGGGGGCGCGGGAGGATGGCAGCGCTTGCCTACCTTCCTGCATCTGTACACGCTGTACCGGATACCCAGAGCTCACTCAATTGGCCTCCACTACAAAGTCCAGATGTCAAGTCAAGCTCGCTGGCTTACAGCTCAGCACCCTTCCCCCTTCTTCCTCTCCTCCAGCCAGGTGACTGCTGAAGAGGCCCCAGCAGTGCTCAAATACATCCAGCTGGCAAGAGCACAAGGTAAAGGTCATTTCTGTTACCCTTCAGCTAGGAAGGAACAGCTTCAAGTTTCTTTTTCAGGTTCTCCATTAGCAGCAAGTTTTGCAGGGCCAGCCTTCTGCAGTCCTCATCAGGGTCTTTCTCCATCACAACTGCAAAAGAAGCAGCCATTATTAATTGGAGAATGGGAAAAAGTGCCCTTAACACTTTTCACTATTTTACTGACAATCACAGAACTAAACAACAGCATTTGCACCTACGGCTGGGCTGGACATCAGGACTTGCAGGAACTGCATTAGGCCAGAAGGCAGAGATGCACAAACTTGATCATGTAAAGCAGCATAAGTTCAGCCAAGCCCTGACTGTCACATGGGGTAGTGCTCCAGTTTTTTTTGAGAAACAGTCAGTTGGTCTGAAACACTGTAGAAACTGTCTGACCTTGGATCCTATGGGATTATCTCCATGCCAGAATTTGTACTTGTCACCCTGAGCTACACAAAAGCTTTGTACAGCTGAGCTACAAGCATGAGTGAAGTTTGTAGCTAGAAATCCACTTTCTTCACAGTCTAAAGTCTCCACTCTGCCATTCTTGCAATCTAAAATAGTCAGTGCTCCTTCCTGAATTTGGGGTCATGATGCCAACAGGGAAAGAAAGTGACAGGCCCCAAGCTTCAGCACATTCTCCACTCTGAGAAACCAATCTTCTGATCAACGGGTTCCACATTCCCCACAGCACATAAGGGCAATGTGAGGCTGTTCCCAGCAGCTGTTATTCCAGGGGCCCTTAATGAGCCTGCAAAGTAACAACCAGGATGCATGCAGGATGTCTAAGCAGGGGAGCCTGGAAGAGCAGGGAGCCTGTGTGAGGATATCCTGTACGCACGAGTAGTGTGCTGGGAGCCCAGCACTGTCAGCCCAAACACATGACTCATGTCACTGGAGCACAGCTATTTATAATCCAGAGAGAGCTGCAACCTGGTGCTTTCATACTCCCTCTGCAGAAGACAAAAAGGAAGGTTACAAGGCAGAGTGAAACAAGCTCAAAAGCTGAGTGCTGTTGGTGCTGTTTCTGTTCCATGAGCATGGACCTGGCACTGCTGGCACTGCATGGGAGGCACAAGGCACCAGAGTGTCCTGTTGGTCCTGACATAAACCTCACTTACCCATGACATAGCTGCAGAGCACTTGCAAGGGGTGGGGATTTCCCTCAAAGGCAGCTGCTGAGGAATCAAAAGGTTCCTCAGGGAATGCTCTTTCCTAGGGCATTTCCTAGAAGCATTTAGATACTCCCTCCCTCCCCCAGGAAGGATCAGGCTGCTCAGCAGCAAGTCCAGCGGGGTAACTAAGGGTAATGATGGACAAGTCCAAAGTGGATTCTCGTCTCTCTCTGTAGCCGGTATGTCCCAATGCATCCAGTAAGCAGACAGTGCCAGGCTGCAGCCAACAGGTTGAAGGGCCAACAGTCAGTCATAGGACTACAGCAGTTTGCAGAGGTCCAGATGTAACAACAAACTGAAAGAAGTCTGTGGATTTCTACTAAGCACTTCATGTATAACATTTCCTATCCCACTGTTCATCACTGTGCTTTGGCCATGGCAGGAGAAACACAGATGCTTTAAGCTAAAACCCAAAGTGGCTAAAAGGCATAGTAGTCAAGGCTCCCATGCAGGACACTTGGCCATTCCCAGCTACAACACAGCTAATACACAACTCCTCTTGCAAATCTTGTCTAGAAGAGCCTTGAAGCAACAGCCAAGTCCATGAGCACAGACCTGTGATTCAGTCACAGAAGCAGGTCTCTAGTGCCAGACTTGATCTGCTGGAGCAGCCGGGAGGGCCCAATACCTCCCTGTGCAACTGTTTCCCCAACAGCCTTACAATAAATAGCAAAGGCACAGCTCAAGAAGCTGGTGTGTTTCAGGAAGCAGCTCTAGAAGCCCTTTAAATTTCACTTAAATTGCACCTGACCATATGTGAAGCTGAATTCTTTAAGGCTTCTGAACGACTCCTACAGCAGTTTTCCTTTCTCTGGTATACCCACAACAGTTATCTTACCCTGCTCTCATTCCCACCAGAAATAATCATGCAGCTTTCATGCAAAAGCACTAGATGAAAAGACAGGGCTATTACACTACCTACCAGCATGAAAAATTGCTACTATCTTGGTCATCCTCCTCCTCCCCAAAATAACTCACTGAAAACAGACTATGCAAACCCTCATGCTGGAAACACATTCTTGAAAGGCTTTGCTTGGTAACAGCAGTGTTAAATGCAGAGACAAGCAGATTCCTGAGAGTACACAGTGTCATGGGAAAAGTGAAGTCTTCAGCCCCACATGGCAGCTCTCTTCCGTTCAAAGGGCACAGAGCACCCCAACCTGCCAGGATCAGAGGCCAGCTGGGTCAGTGTTGCTTCCTGCTTGCTCCCTGTGGGAAGCGACTCACCAAAAGTGAGAATGGTGAAGGAAACCAGACCAGGGAGTCACAAGAATCACACACACAACACAGTGAAGGCTTCAACATTAGTTGCTCTTTTCACTCCAGCTCATTGCAGTACCTGAGCACTGATCTGTGCAGCTCCAGCCTGCCAGAAGCTACAGACACAGTTTGTGTTGATGTAAGATGTGCTGGGTTCAGCATTTAAAGTAATTTGCTGTCTTTTGTATCTTTTTCTTTGCATCGATAATAGGAAACTAGAGACTAGGCCATGCTCCTTTTCCTCCTGTTTTCAGCTCTAACAACATCCCCCTTGTGAGCACACGGTGTAAACAGGCTGTACAAGCTTTGTCTGTTCCTGCTGGCCAAAGTTGCTGCCTGGGTGTAACAGGCATCGTGACAACACTTCAGGCAGCTTCATGAGGTGGGTGGCTGGCTGCTTAGATGGAGAAAGGGGGCACAGACTATCTTTGGGGATTTTTCTGGGTGGCCTGTGAAGACAGTCACAGTTTGTAATGCCATACCCAGTTCTTGGCTTATGCCTCAGGTACCCCAGTGCTGCACCCCTACAGCACACATGGTGCTCTCCTTGCTGATCATGCAGATTTCTCATGTACAATGCCAGAACATCACTGCTGCCATCACAATTAAAGAGATGCTGCACAAAGACCACATCACTGACCAGAAAAGTACTGCTGTACCCCACCAGATCTTACCTCCCAGCCAGGACTGAGTCTCCAATAGCTCTTCTGTCATGTCTGCCAGCATTCGTTCTGTAGGGACACTGAGGAGCAGGGAGGAGATACAGGACAAAAGGCCCTGGCGCACGTACCTGTGGACAAGGACTGAACTGGTAATGCAACTTTATGCTCTGCATTGATTTCCTCACCTCAGGGGCTCTCCAGTTTCAAATGGCATGACAACTTTTGCCATATTCCTGCTGCTTAGGGGTGTAATCTTGCAGTGTGTCTCACATACAGAGTCCCTGTCATGCTGTGCACAGGAGCCTAGCACAATTCAGAGTCCTGGACACGTTTGAGAGCAAAACAGAAATTGGATGTTTACAGACTTTTGGCTACATGTTTTAATTCCTTTCGAAGACTGAATGCTGGAATTTCTGAGCTCCCTGGGTAAACACAGATGAAACTATCACATGGACAGGTAGTTAGGAAATTTGTTAACCTTTCTATAGGTAATGGCTGTACTGCCACACCTATAGAAGACACCAGCGAAGTTCATATATTGGGCTGACATTAAACACAGTCATAAGAACACATAGCTGGAGGAGAGCACAAAGTAAATGCATTAAGTCACTGACACTCTGAGCCAGATGCTCATCTTGGACAAAGACAAACCATGACTGGAGGCTGGCTCACATCTGATCTTTAAAAATGAGAACATACAACTACAGTAACTCACGAGTCCGTGTGGAAACGCAGTGCCCAAACAAATTCCAGCAGTGCCTTTCCCATTGCTGTCGCTGCCTGCAAAAGAGGATTGTGACAGCAGCACTGAACACCATCCACACTGCCCTGTAGAGCTGCACCTCAAGACATACTGCTCATGGAATCACAGCATGTCCTGAGCCGGAGGGAACCCACAAGGGTCATGAATCCAGCTCCTGCTCTGCACAGGACACCCCAACAATCCCATCATAAGCCTGGGAGTGTTGTCCAAATGCTTGAACAAATGTTTTGTTAAGATCAGATACAACTGAATTTAGTGGAAACTTTGGTGAAATAATGTGCCCAATCCCCCAAAGAAGTTGACACAAAGCAAAAGACAGTGCAGGGATGGCTTGAATCCCATGTCTATTTCCGACTATTTCTTCCCAGCCCAGTTCACAACTTCTCAGCCCACTCAACTCCAACTTGCTGCAGGTCTCAGTGCAGCAAGCCCTGAAGCACATGGCTAATCCAGAAGACACCTCAAGTTCCCAGGCTGGAAGTCACCCCTGCCCTCTGCCCTTCCTTACCACGGTGTTGACAGCCAAGTACATCAGAACTGCTAAAGTGTGAACCAGTCTTCCAAGGACTAAGTGATCTTCTCCCAGAAGATCAAATGTTGTTAAAGGCCTGCAAGTACAAGGCACAGAGTTGTGTAGCAGTGAGAAGGATGATCAGTGCCTCTTTGGAACAGTCAGGAGGGTTATGCAGGGGGAATTGTCCCCAAAAGCCTGAATCCCTACAACAGCAGTCATTATTCAGGCACTATCAGGTTAACAGAACTCAGAGCTGTTTGCTCTCATCTTTTCTCCCAGACCAGTAGAGGATATTGCTCCCGCAGAGCAATATCCTCTACTCGTACAGCAGGTATCACACATTGTACCAAAAGGCTTTACCTGGCTTTACCTGTAAAGACCTATAGGCAAAAGCTGCCCCCACTGCCATACCATTACAACTGGTATTATAATAATCTTGGTTATCATGGAACTGATTACTCAGCCTTCCTTAGGTTCACAAAGACTTAAGGGACTGACAATAAACTATGTCCTGTGTCTTATACTGTGGCCTCAAAGACCAGTGCAGGTGACAGGCCAAGGCAGAGACAGAGCTAACTTTGGTTCAAGATTGCAGTCCGAGCTCTGTGGTTTGTGTGAACCTCCCACAGTAGAGGCCCAGCCAAGACAACTGGTGTGGAACTGCCAGAATTACTTGTCTGTGTACCTGCAGATGGATCTTCACTCCTGCAGGGTCCTACATACTCCTGCCCCACAAGACTTCAAAGGCTTAAGTCCAAGAGACTACAACCATCCCCTCCCCAAGCTTTGTGAAAGACACAAGTGTCAGTGTGGTGTCACTGGGCTCCTGCACAGCTCCTCAGCTGTAGCCTGCTGCTTTGAGACAAGTAGGGCAAGCAGAAAGTTTCACTCGGGCAGTTGCCATGTCCACATCCCACATCCTAAGGTGTTCACACTCACCTGTCAAAATGCTGAATCAACGGGAAAAAGAAATACCCAGCAACAGAATTGAACTCGTTTGGGCAGGAAGTCAGTTCCAGACGACACTGACCCTGTCCAAGAGAAAAATGAAGTCTAGGCACAAGATACAGCATCCAGCTCTTCCACTTCACTGGACACTGTCAAGACTACAGATTCCTTGCAGCCAGCCCGTCGTCAACTACTGCTTGTATACCTATGGCTACCGGTTTCTGACTGGATTGCTCACTTCCCACTTTGGATCTTCAGCACATCTAAACATTTCAATACAATATGCCTCAGTACTGCTTGGTTAGATATAAGGAACAAGAACATGCAAGGGATAAAGGAGTTTTGGAAGGCAAACTCTCCAGGCTGAACCACAGGGGAATTCTGGAAACTAGGAAACTGGCATCAATTTATCTCTCTGGAAAATAGGAAGGTTGAGACAGTGTAGGCAGCTAGTCTGACAGAGGCCCTGGGATTGTGAGTTGAAGTCACAGCTCCCTGCAGTGGCCACACAAGCTCTGAACAAGCACAGAACAATTATCCCTCAAAGCCAGGTAAGGATTTTCAGGTTTATCTTCCCCTCCCTGCTGGAGAAGGGAAATACAAATTTTCCTTTGGATTGGGCCCACTTTCATAGGTATTTTTTTCTTTCCAGACAGAGCTTACAGTATCTCCAAGTGTCCCTATTTCTGGTGGATTTTACGTTAGCTTGCCTCTAGCCTCACCGTATTAAATCTCCGAGTCTTGCTTTTGATCCTCTCATCAACGATTTTTCTCCAGCCCTTAGAGCTGTCACTTCCTGGAAGGAGCTGGATACAAGGCTTTTGGACATCAGAATGTGTGGTCTTCCCATGGAACTTGGGACAGGACAGTTCCTGAGCTGCCAAAACCAATACCTAGATAAAACAGAGAGAGGTTCTGTTAAAAATGGGTAATTCCTAGGGAACAACAAAAGCGTTACCTGCATCCAAACTGACTGGAGCAACAGGGCAGAAAGGCACAACAGTTTTAGAGTGAAGAACAGCAGGAAATTGACCTCCAACAGCCACCTGGCTCTGAGGTACTGACCAAGCACTTGGTCACTTAGCCCTGAAACAGAGTAGTTGCTCCCCCTTCAGACTCAAGTGTGGGAGGAGTCACAGACAGATCATTGTCCCTCAGAAAGGGAAGGTAAAACAGACTGATGATGTGAAAGTAAACAGTGGCTTTTCCCAGGGAAATGCCCAACACATGCTCTGCATTCTGTGGGGAGGGATCCCTGTGTGATGGAGTGGAGCAGGATTAGAAACAAGAGGGGAATGCCAGACACAAATAGTAATGTAAGAAATTCCCATGCCTCTGCCTCCTCCCATGAGGAATAAAAGGTAAATCCATTACACCTCAGCACTGGCACAGCAGACAGAAGGAAAGTGGGAAGTGAGAGCACTCACATCAAGGATGTCCATGCGCTGACGGAGACTGTAGTTCAGAGAGTAGAACTGAGAGGTCAAGTACTCTGCAACCTGTACAGAAAAATCAGGGTACAATGAACACAGACCCATGCTAGAAACAGCCTTTCCATTAACTCTAAAAGCATTTAATTTCACAGATTCTTCTTCCTGTTAAGTAACAGCAAGCCTCCAAGAAAAGAGAAGAAACACACAGTGTAAATGGGAAATTCAGACACTTCCACTTCTAGATTCTCCCAAAAAATCTAAATGATAGATGAGACTGCATCATTCTTCTCTCCCTCCTATGCAGAGGTACCCAAACAACCACCACAGCAGCTAGGAGACCTCACTGTGGCCTTTCAGTACTTAAAGAACATCACAGGAAAGATGGATGGAGGCTTTTTACTGGGGCCTGGCTAGCCTGAAAGATAAAGATGTTAAACTGGCAGAGAATAGATCTAGATTGGATATTAGGAAGGAATTTTTCCCTGTGATGGTGCTGAGGCCCTGGCACAGGGTGCCCAGAGAAGCTGTGGCTGCCCCTGGATTCCTGGAAGTGTCCAAGGCCAGACTGGACAGGGCTTGGAACAACCTGGGAGAGTAGACGTTGTCCCTGGCATGGCAGGGGTTTGGAATTGAATTGGGCTTTAAAGATTCTTTCCCACCCAAAACAGTCTGTGATTCCCTCATTACAGTCACCAGTCAGCCTTTCTCTGTAGAAGCCCTCTGTGCCTCAGCCTCCTTTTATGTGAAACCCTTCAGTACAACAAGTTCTTATCTGATCTGCCTTGTCAGGTACACTCACACGAACCAACAGCCTCCAAACAGTTCCTTTGTTTGACAGGGTGTTCTTTTTCCCCCTGGTTCAGACATTCCTTGTAGATTCTTCAGGAGCATAAATAATTGTTAGACCTGAACTACCTGTTCTACCACACAAACAGCTCCCTCTATCAAATGAGAAAGAGACTTCAACTGCTTCAATTTTTGCCTGTGCTTCAACTGGAAAAAGGAAAAATAGTAGGAGGAACTCACAGGTATTGGGTCTGTGGTTAAAACAGCTACTTGAGCTCTTTGACGGAGTGCCTCAAAGCCTTCAATGCAGGTCTTCTCCTCCAGATGCAATAATATTTTTGCCAGCTCCACACTAACCTGCTCAAAGTATGAAAAGAATAATCAAAACCCTGATGGTGTTTGGGTTTTTTCCTCACAGGAATTATGGACCACTTCTAATGGTCAAACAAAGACAAGGAGGTCTTTTGTTTAGGCAACATGTCCATTCCTTAGGAGGGAGAGAAAACACATTAAGCCAACTGCCATCAGACTTATTTCCCAAAACCTTGAACAGATTCTCCACCTGCCAATTCTCTGTCCACATTTCACTGGGACTGTTTTGGAGTAGTAGCATCATGACATTGAATGAGTAGTCACTGTAACGGATGGGTTAAAGGGTACAGCAGCACAGCCCTTCTCTTTCTCAGCTGGTGTCTCCGACACTTGCAAATGTTCACTAGCAGATAGTGGCAAGCACTCTTTGCACAGTGACCTTGCCCCAGGTTCCTCTCCCCTGAGCTTTTTATCTTGACCAGTACAATCCAATTACTCCCTCCACAAGACATTATGCTTGTACAAACAAATATGGAAAGTGCATTTGATTTTGCCTCCGTTTTCGTTGTGGAATAACAATTAAACTGAATTTCAATTCAAAATCCAAAATGGCTGCTCTGTAATCTTATTTTTTAGTGTTTTTCCTGCCCAGCATGGAGCTTCCTCACACTAGCAAGCACTACTTGTAGAATGTTTTATTTTGAGCACTGGAGACAGCAGAGTGCTGCCAGCACTTTTGCTGCTCCTCTATTCCCCTGTGCTCTATTGCCTCACCTACAAGGCAACTATTTCCTTCTGCTTCCAAGTTGAAAGCTTGTGAATGTGTACCTTTAACCCAGTTACACATTAGCCAGGCCTTCTTCTCCACTGGCATGTTTAGTCTCCTCATGACAGCAAAAGGATAGGCCTTCTGGCAATACAGCCCTCTTGTAACCTAGTTCATATTACTTCACCTCTCTTGTTGCTGCTGGATTCCTCCGAACCAGGCTCTCAAGTGCCTTGATTGTAGCTTCCCATTTGTCCACATCTTCAGATCTTGATCCAGTCAGAACTAAATCAAAGGACAAACAAAAGTTATTAACAGAATGGCTATATATGGGTATATACTCAAACTTCCTTCTGCCAATCATTTGTCTTGGCACAGACACTCAGCATGACCAGCATGAGAAACTCAACTGAAATTACTCAAAAATTCTATAGCTTCTTCAAATTAGATCAGAAAAAATGTACCTATGCAAGAGTTCACTCTCCCAAGTTCAGTAGGAAATGGATAAAGACTCAGTCCAAAATCTCCTACCTTCAATACAGTCTCGGATATACATAGGAGCCTTAATTTTTAGCTCTTTATCCTCAGACATGTCATAAGGGATGAGGTCATCGTCACTGCAAAACAATTAAAGGTAGGGGTTAGTTTATGGGGTGCAGATGTTCTTGCTTTACCCAGATAGCCACACGAAGAGAAAGAACCAGTGCATACACTGTTGTAACCACATCACTCCTGTATCACTCAGCAGCACTGCTGGAACCTGGCCTGAGAGGGATCCTTGGGAGTTCTAGGGAAAGAGCAGTTCTTTGATCAGAACTGGAACTGGATATCCTGGTCAAGTACAGGATACAGATGACCAAGAGACTAGAAACTGACTCTTGAGATTTCATTATAGATTTATATATATATATATATATATATACACACATACATACATATCAACATAGATAGATAGGTAGATAGATAGATAGATAGGTAGATAGAGAGATAGATAGATTTCTTCATATGGTGACAGAATAAAGCAGGTCCACTATTAAAATGGGTAAATACATCCACAATTTCCAGGAAATATATATCTAAGTCAAACAGAACAAATACAGTGGTTGCACACCGCAACACAGGCCTTGCCTAATTTATTGACTATGCAATTTCCTATGCAAAGCCCTGCTCTGCTACAAACCGCTCAGCTGAAAAAGAAATCACAACAATTGCCAAGAAATGCAGGTACTGACAGATCCTTTTCCCCCACATCTGCCATTTATTTCCATTTCCTCCCTGTTTCTTGCCCCATACCTGTCAAGTTCAGCATCTGACTCTTCATCTGGCATCCCAGGGGCTGCAGTAGAGGATTTCTCATTACTCTCTGGTACCAGTGGCAGTGCAGCACCTGCTTTCTCACTCCTGCTGCGAGGAACAAGAAATTTTAAAATGGATACAGTAATAGTTCTTACAAGGAAGAAACTACCCACCCTACCAACCCTTGCTGCCTAAACAGAACAGCAGATAATTATTCCTGCTGCAGTTTCACACCCAGTTTGGCTGACACAAAGTACTGGAAAGGAGAATGGAGTAAGGGGAGAAAAGAAGCGGAATCTTCTAACAGAAGAGCAATGGATTAAAAAAATTAAACTGGCAAGTTTGTTGTGTTCCCCTGCACAATACGTGGGACTGCTAAAGAAAAACTCCAACAACCAGATCACATTGAATTGCACCAGATTTGAAACTGTGAATGAAACTGAATGGAGAGTAAGTTCAGATTGGATATTAGGAAGAAATTTTTCTCTACGATGGTGGGCAGGCCCTGGCACAGGGTGCCCAGAGAAACTGTGGCTAACCCTGGATCCCTGGAAGTGTTCAAGGCCAGGTTGGACAGGGCTGGGAGTAATCTGGTCTTAACAGGTGTCCCTGCCCATGGCAGGGTGTGGAATGGAATGGACTTTAAGGTCTCTTCCAACCCAAACCATTCCATGACTCTTCAAAATGGGAAAAAAACCCCATTTTTAACAATTTCTAGGTCTTGCATAGGATGAATACACTAATTGAGAATATTTTTTCTGTCTCAACCTGTTTCTGTGGACTTTGGCATTGTCCTTTCATCTCTCTGATTCTCAAAACCAGTCTCTAACAGCTGTCTATGCTGATCATGTCCCTAAAATGGGAGCAATTAATCTTTTGTACTTCCCTGGAGTGCTGGACAGCTTCATTGCTAATAACATAAAGTGCTTCACTCCTCTGCTGATCAAAAGTGCTCTAAAGAGCCTCAGCAGATGCTCTGGAAGTTAAGAGCACTGAAGAGCCAGTCTTTAGAGTAAGAGATACAGTAGATTTTAGTCACAGGTGAATGGGCTGGGGGCATACAACACAAATACCAGATTTCCAAGAAGCAAACAGAAATGTCCATTTGATTGTACCAAAGGGCACACAAAACCCCTACACCACAATTTCACCACATGCAGCTATCAACAGGCAATTTTAATAGACACTAGCAACTGAATTATTAATATAACTAAATCACATTGTAAGAAGGTGGTGCATTATGATGCTTAAGAATACATAAAAAATCTTGAATACTGTACATAGTTCTTGTGTGTAATGGGAAAAAGCATGAAGAAGGGCAAAACACATCATGAACAGTAGCAACAACTTACTCATCATCTGGAAGGCTGGGGACAGCACAGAATGATGGAGTCTGCACCAGAAGGGACTTCAATTCTCTTGTTTCATCATCCTCTTCATACTAGACATTCAAAATAACTGTTGCTGCACTCTATTACTTATTTTACTGTAAATATGCCCAGCATTCAACATTCACCACTGTAGTGCACATGGACTAAATCATGAGCAGATGAACCCTCACCAATCCTGTTTCAATCCCTGTGTTGATAGCAGCAGGCAGCTGTAATCTTTGTCCTTATATTTAAGAGTAGTACCTGATGACACCTTGTCTGAATGTTATTTCCATATTTCAAACATTTAATAAATGGCAATGTGACAGGAGGAATGTGTCAGGCTTTTAAAGAATTAATGTGATTTATTAAGTTAAGTCACACAAATTCTACTGGAAAGAGCAGAGCAAATATCTCCATGTCAGTCTTGAGAATCCCAGCTTAGAACAGGTCTTCCCACCATGTTAGGGACTGAATGCTCACCAGTGCTTTAGGTTTGAAGCTCCCATGAATCAGATTCTGATTCCCTCATGCAGTAAGATAAACTTCAATTACCAAGTTTATCCTGACCTCTGCCAGTAGACTGCACTCCTGAAGTAACTCTCAGCCACCTGACCATTACATACAATTGTTTTTTTTGTAAACAGATTCTTTCTTTTTGAAGGTGTGACTGCCTCTCCTTATTTCCGGATAAAAAAGTGCTATAATGCCCGGAATAATCTAGTTTAAGGCTTTTACTTCCTCTAAGCCTAGCACACCAGTCATAAGTTTCAGCGAAACTTTCACCTCAAACTTCAGGACAGGCCCCTCAGTGTTTATGTTCAAGCTGATGCTCTCTGCCACCACCATGCCCAGACGCCGTAGTTGTGGCAGACTGCTCTCCAAGTGGCATTTCACACCCTCCATCATGCTTGTCAGAAGCTCTGAAACGAACAACCAGCAAATAGTGCATGTTTGAAATTCTGAAACAGTGTCACCTATCTTTATGTGCTTCCCTGAGGGCAGCTTTACCCACCCACCACACAGTAATAGATAGAAAGTCCCTGAACTGTGGCTTCCCTTCCTGCAGTGTCAGTGGTGCCCTTCAGCACGAGCACAGCAAACCCACACCCTTCCATGGAGCTACAAAGTCAACAAAACATTACACTATTTTCTAAATTTGCAATATTTTGGTTTTCACTAAAACAAAAAAGGATGGTAAGTCAAGCCAATCTTCAGTTTGGTTTTAGAGTGTTTCAGAGTCACTTAAATAAATGTTGCTTTAAGGACATTACAAGTTCTGACCACTACAACAATCACATGGAGACATATATTTGCCTAACTTTGGATAAGCTCAAACAGGCAGATAACACAAGTATTTCCCAGCCCTCGGGGAATACTGGTTGCCAACTTTACCAGGCAGGCTTACTGCTGTTTGACTGACCTCCTTCATCTCAGAATGCTTATCTTTCCAACAGCTGTTAGACAAAAAACTGACTATAAAAGTACAGAACTAGCAATACATATCAAGTCTCTTATTCACTTAAAGAACAATTAATTCTGGAATGAAACAGATGCGCAAGTCTTGAAGTGAACCTTTACATTCCCCATAAGTCACAGACACACACGGGTAATTCTAGACATTTTGCAGATTTTTTTTTATTTTTTATTTCAACAGAAACAAATATGTTAGGCCAGGACCCCAGTGTGCTATGCACTGTGTGAGTACATTACTGGAGGTCCATGCCAGCAACTAACCTGCTCACTTCACACTGAGGAATGCCCATGGACTGTCAGACACCAAGCTAACAGCTTTTTACCCCCAGTTACCTTCCCTGCCTCTCTGGAGCAGCACCAATATTCCAAGGTTAAGCCTATAAATTACAAATCACACCATTCCTCTCACTAGCCCAGAGTCAGTCCTTGTTTTCCTGTGACAAAACTTCAGAGTTTTCAAACCACATCTCAGGTAAGAATCTTAAGGCAAAGACAGACCTTCTTCAATTCCATAACCTAAAGTTATGCACTTGGAATTCTATCATGTCAATGCTAAAGAGGACTCCAGCAGGTTACCCCATTTGCCAGGGTGAATATGGGACAATTCTGCTTACCCACAGATCAAAACAAGATATTTTTCTACATGTAGTAAGACACTTTGCTAAACAAATCTAAGCCCCGCTTCTCACATAGCCTCACCTTGTCTGCAGCTTGCAATTTCAGGCTCCTTCAGGTGGGAGAGGCAGATGAGAATGGCCTTGCTAATGTACAGCTGCTGCTCAGCTGGGGAGTGTTTCACAGCACTGCTGCTGCTCCAGGTCTCCAACAGCTCCTGCAGCACCTACACCAGAGAATTCAGGTTGGCCTGAAATGGATTTTTTCTATACAGAGATAATTTCTGAAGCACATTTTTACTCTCCCTACAAAGAGGGAAACAAATACAAATTCTGAATTTCAGGGCCCAAAACATACTGTGTTTGACCACCCAAGAACTGCACTTCCATTTAAGATACTGTTAAATACAATGAGTTTTTAAATTTAAAAGTGATGTTTATTTCTCCTTAATAAATATTATATGCAAAGCAATATCATTATCAAAAAAGTATGATATTATAAGGTTTTATCTGAGTTTAGTCCAATTTTAGATAACTGTCAGTCCTTTCAGATAATTTTAGAACATGTAAACAATGGGGGGGAAAATAATTTGACAAAATGGTAGGGATTCCCAAATATACAGATTTCACAAAAGTCTCATCACACTGCTAACTTGGAGAGACAGAATATCTGCCATCCCCACTGAGGAAAATGTGCATGAGAGAGATTCTGAAACAGCCACTGCAACAATCAACCATTTGGTAAACAGACAACTGTCCACCAATTTGATCCCCTGCTGCCATGTGCCCAGCCACATAAACAGGGTTACTGAGGAAGCTGAGAAGGACAGAGGATGTGGGACATGTGTCAGAACCCAACCCTTTTGCTACTTGGAAGAAAATTTACCAATTACATATGAAAAATTAATGCCAGCAGCGCAGAAAGCTTTGGTTCATTTATCACAGCTCCCCTGTGATATAGCTGGGCTTCCCTCACTCTCATGAACAGCAACCAGAAAGTCTGAGAGAAGAACCAAAATTGTGCACTCCCAGACAGACACAGAGCAGAATGTTCCCCATAAGACACCTCATCAGCAACTCAGTGAACCTTACTCTGAGCAACAAGGTGCGCCGGACACTGTCCAGGGACAGGTAGCCAAAGAGGTTCTGCAGCACTGCTGTCTGCAAGGAAAACCACAACTGCTTCAACTGGTCATAAAGCTGTCATCCAGCAATGACAAGTGTGTGTTTTTATTTACTACATTAAACTTCATTCTAAGGGACTGGTTGACAACATTCAGAGACAGAAAAGTAAACAAATTTAAAAAAACAAGCAAGTACACATATGCAGTTGCTGATGAAATACATGGAAAGCCATGACAGAAATAGACTACAGTGTTTTACCAACAAAACCAGCACAGTCCCAGGCAAACATAGAACTCATGAAGTCTAAAGAACATCTCTCACAACAGCATCACAAGCCACAGTACAGTCCCTAACATCCCATAACAAACTTAGGTGCACAGGAAAAAACCCAATGGTCCTTGTCTCATGTCTTTAATCTAATTCTTATTCCTGAGGGTTCATTCTGGCTGTTTCAATCTCCTCTTCCAGATTCTAAAGTAACTTAATGCCTTCAGCTCCCCAGAATTCTGAAATCTTGTGCAAATAATCACTTGGTTCCACAGGAGTACAGTAATTTCACTAATCACCATTAACCCTGAGAGAGCACATGAATCCCATGATTTCAAAGCTACTGTTCACCACTCCCACTCTTGTTACAGCTGCACAAATGTGGGGAGACTGAGGACTCATTTTGGAATGAAGAGTTAAACCTTACTCAGGCAGAGTAAGAGCTCAGCTAAAAACCAAACTGGCACCAGGGAAAACCTGGCACTACTACACTACTATTCCCCACAGAGTCCTCACCGTGTGGCCATATTGCAAGAGCAGCATCTTCTGTGTGACCACAAACTGAGCCTTCTTGTTCTTCACAACCAGGTTACCCAGCAATCTGGACAAGACATCTGCCCTAACAGGACAACAATAAAACATCAGGAATCCATGTTATTGCTGTCATGCTTCTCCTAATCATAGGAAAATGTGAGAGCAGCTATTTGCAACTAAGTCTGTAGAATACTTCTAAACTCAGCAAGTAAGCCAGTAATGGCAAAGAATGCTTTCACTTGTTTTTCCACTGCATGTCATGATGAAGAGACTTAAGAAATGGTGTAGGGTCTCCCTGAGAGACAACAATCAACTACTTTATCCCTTGAGTCTTTTTGGAAATGACAGTGCAAAAAACTACCTACACAAACACAGCACCTTTCAGAGACCGATTCTGCAAGTATTTGTGACAATTCCTGCCTTTACTGTGGATCAGGGAGAAAGCAGAGTTCTTACCCAGGTGCTCTCTGCACAAAACCAAGGACCACTGCTTCCATCCAGCGGTCCGGCACACATTCCACCAACTGCCAGCATATCCTCTGCCAAATGCAGTCTGACTTGGTGAGGTCTGTCAGGCGGGGAACCAAAACTCCCAGAATTTCCTCTGAAGCACAACAGAAATCAGTAAATACCCCAGATGAGCAGGACTGGTACAATGGCATTTGAGACTAACCTGAGAATTTCAAGATCTTCACGACATAAAAAAAATACAATGTACAGTTTTAAGTTCTAATTTTTTCCTGCAGTAGAAATACGACTAGAATCATGGAATCATTTAGGTTGGAAAAGCTCTCTACAACCATTGAGTCCAACTACAAGCCAGCACTGCCAAGGCCAACACTAAACCACGTCCCCAAATGCCACATCCCTCCATGGATTTAGCGACTCCACCACTACACTGGGCAGCCTGTTCCAACGCCTGACCACACTTTCCACAAAGAAGTTTTCCTTAGTATCTAATCTAAATCTCCATGGCACAGTCTGAGGCCGTTTCTTCTTGTCCTGTCCCTTGTTCCCTAGGAGCAGAGCTGACCCCCACCTGGCAGCACCCTCCTGTCAGGGAGTTGTAGAGTGAGAAGGTCCCCGCTAAGACTTCTTTTCTCCACACTGAGGCCCCCAGCAGCTCCTCCTCAGACTTATGCTTCAGATCCTTCCCCAGCTCTGTTGCTCCTCTTTGTTCATGCTCAAAACAGAAATGGAGAACTGACTGCTAAGAACCACTTTAAGCAGCCAAAGGAAGTGTCCAGAATTCCTCATCACAGTAAAGAGACAGAAAATCTTCCTCCTTCATCTTCCCCAGCCCTGTTAACTACTGCATTCAGTAGCTTCAAAGTTCTAAGCAGTGCCAGACCAACAGGTGCTCCCACAAGACATATCTACCAACACAGCTGAGCAGCCAGAGAGAGCAACCTGCTCAGCTCAGAACAACTCCAAATCAAATTGTTGGTCTCCCATTCCTTCCGCTGATCATCACAGTCATCCTCCCATGCTAATACACTAAAACACTTTCCCCCTCTCCAAAAGAACATAGTAAAACACTCACTTTGCCGTCCATGAACACACACCTTCCCCAGGACATGAGAAACAAAAGAGATGGAGCAGTCCAAGCCACCTGGGATAAAACAGACATGAGCTTAAGTAAGCATGGCACCAGTATCCTCCAACCAGCCTTCAGCAGGAGGTGCAGAGACTTCTAAAAGTGCTGAGTTCTGACAACACATTGACTTTTTCTCTTCAAGCATCATCTCTTCCTCCCTCCACTACCTGCCTTCATGCATAAACTAGCATTCAGTATTAGTTACAGTGACAGGCAGAAGGCCAAGGCAACTCAGTCCCACTTTAATGTGATGGCATGAGTAGCAATGCCACTGGTTGATTAAGTACCACTCGTATCTCCCAAACAATTCCTTCAGCACACACCAAGTGACCACAACAAAGCTTCAGCAACAGATGACACTACTTAATAGTTTGAAAGATTGAGGCTTTTGGTGGATTCCAAAAGGCCTCAGTTATCATCTGTATTTCAAGCAGCAGCCATGGGGTCCATCCTCAAAACACTTCAGAAAAAGCAACCTTACAGTACAGTCATCCTTGCAGCCTTACCCCGCAGAGAGTCAGAGATCTTCTCTAGCACCTGGAGGACTGCATCACCCAGGAGAGGGAAGTAGTTCTGTGGGAAGAACACTGGCGGGTTTTTCCCCTGGAGTTTATTGCTCACATGCTCGGGCAAACAGACGATCTTGTTGAGCAGGGCACCCTGCAGTTCCAGGCAGCCTGCCTGTGCCTGCGGCTGACAGACCTCCCACAGTAATGCTGACACCTGGCCCTGCTGCAGGAACTGCTCCAGGACCCCAACTACCTCCTTCGGGTCAAGGCCAGAGCTGGAAGAAAATAACTGTAAGTTCCCGGCTCTTTGAAATGGTAAAAATAATATTTGCATGCTACTGCTTTTCTATTGTGGTATCACTACTGAAATGCCTCTGCTCTGCTACACTAGATTTAAAACAAACAACAAAAATAAACCCCAGCCATTTTAATCTTTTCATCTGCAGCTTCCTCGGCTCCGAACATTCAGGACCTTCAACAGGCAGGACTGATAGAGCTCTGTCTCTGCGGGACGCACAGGATCGTGTGGGGTCTGAAGGCACTCAGGGTGGGGTGAGGGCTGCCCGCGCTCGCACACATCTCCGCACCCCGCTGAAAGGCACCCCCAGACATCCCTGCTGCGCGCCGAGACCAGCCCTGGGGATCCCCGCCCGCCTGCTCCGGGGAGCCGCACTGACCCCGCAGAGCCAAGGGCCTCCAGCAAGACGCAGAACACAAGGCCGGGCGGGCCCTCCAGGAAGCAGCGCTGCCACAGGCCCTCGGGCCGCGCCGCGCCAGGCGCCCGGACCAGTCTGCGCAGGAAGGCGCCGAACAGCGCCCGCTCCCGCTCCCCGAGGGCGGCTGGGCCGCCCGCTGCCGCCACAGCGGCGCGTACCGCGCCCAGCGCCGCCACCATCCCCTCCCCAGCCCGGCCCAGAGCCGCCACGGCCTCCCGCAAGACGGACTCCAGCCCCGGCTCGAGGGCGAGTCCCGGCCCGGGCGGCGCCAGTGCCGCCGCCATCACGCTGAAAGGAGCGCGCGGCGGCGCCGCTTCCGCCGGCCCCGCGCGGCAGCCAATGAGCGGCGCGAGCGCGCGGAAGGGAAGGGGACGAGCAGCCGCCCCGCCCCGCCCCGCCCCGCGCACCGAGAGGCAGCACAGCCCTTCTCAACCCTACCGCTTTATTCAGTCCTACACAAGTACAAACACAACGTGGCCCAAAAGGATACAAAGTTATACAAAACAAACAAACAAAAAAAATCTGTATAGTACTGACTGTACAACAGGTGGTAAATGCCTTGCCTTTCCCTAGGTGAACCCCAGTTAATCCAGCCAGCATAATGGCTTCAAGCCTCCCTCTCTGCTTTGCAGTTTCCAAGGGGTTGGTGCTCAGTTGCTCATTTGGGATTTGTAGAAGCACTCACACTATTTCACTGTGGGCTGAGTAGGAAGTTTTTACCAATACTCTCAACAAAAAGGTGAAAGAAATCACTTAAGGGGGCAGCTACAGAACATTCCTTAGGCTTTCCAGCTTCTTCTCTACAGGGTCATGTTCACTGGGCTGCACCATTGTTTCTGCGGTGATTGCCTGGTGTCAGCATTACAGAAGAGTTTACTCTGTAGAAACTAACCATCTGGGGGAACTGGAATAAAGTAACAATTCTGAATTGAACTAAGTCTCAGGCAGGTCTGGGCTCCAGCTGCCCTGATGAAATCCTGTGCTGGCACCTGGAGATCAAGATACGTGGCTCACTGTCTTACTCACTAGGGTTCTGAACTAGATGAAGATTTACATGCTGGTCTGTACAGCGTGCTAAACGTTTACAATCACCAAGCAGCAGCTGCTATCTTAAGAAAGAGAGGCTGAAACATCTTTCCCTCCCTCTATCTGGAAAAGATGTTTCTTCAACCTTTAAAATCAAAGCCATTTTTAAATCATTTCAATTTGATGCCAGGAATCCAGAAGCCTCACAGTAAAGGTTACTGGCCAGGAACTGGTGTTCTCTCCTCTTACATTGCCTTCACTGCCAGGATTATCTCTCATTCCTCCTCACCCAGACTCATTATAAAAAAAAGGTACAATATTCCATCTGATGGGATTTAAGTTAAAAAGTAAAAAGCTGTCCAGTCCTTCTGCTTTATCTTGAGGAGTTGGAGCTGGAGCGGCTGCGATGGCGCCTTCGCCCGGGAGACCTGGATCGGGATCGCCGGCGAACGGGGGACCTGCGCCGAGGAGAGCGGGACCTGGCACGGCAGCAGAAAGTTCCCGTTAGGAGACAAGCAACAGGTTCAAGTAATTGGTCAGCTCAGCTACCAACTTTTAAAAACGCTTCCCTGCTTCCTGCCAAAATCACTCACACACCACAGGAAAAGAGGTTGAGCAAAACACAGCTCCATAGAGGACACAGCAGGACTATTCTGGCTATCCTCCCTCTGCTTAAGGAATTGGAAAAAACAATTAATACCCGAACAGACAAGAAACTTATCTTCTTCCTCATGGAAATTGAGCTCAGATACTACATCAGATCCTCGTCATCTGAAGTCATCTTTGACTCCTGAAAGAGTGATATTCAGGGCAAGGATTTATCCAAATCCTTTCAAATTACAAGGAAGCTTCTTAGAGGAAGCTTACTCCAGAAGTAGTATAGCTTCAAGCTTCTGAGTACTACAACCAACAGTCCTGTCAGTATAGCTACTGCTATGACAAAGAGGTTCCAGGCACAGAATACTAACAGAGCTAACAGGACAGTAAAAATTAGAGTAGGAAAGATAACAAAGGAGGCAAACCTGCATCTGTAAGATCTCAACAAAAGGTGTATTTAAAAGAGCACCAAGAAGCCTCCTGGATCCTATGCCACAGTAAGTACAGCTCATTTTTAAACTTGTGGCTGAAAGCTGTTCAGTAATCAAATTACTACTGACAAGTAAGATATTTTGAAGACATATAAACACCAAAGACTCAGAACTTACCTGGGCACAATCAGGCAGCTCCAAGTTGCACAACTGTCAGATCACACCTTGAGGCCAGTGTACTCCACTCACCTGACACAGGACTGCTTTTTGGACATGTGCGCATTCAGAAATAAGGGAAGGAGGTACAAGGACTTCCAAAATACAAGAAGTTGGCACAGCCTGCCACAAGTGTTCTGTCAGCCAGTCTGTTCCAACTTCATCTTGAAGCCTTTATGCAGAAGGCACTCCACAGAACAGGCTGGGAAGGGTGACACCTTTCCCAGAGACTGTGCTCAGGGTGCAGACCAGAGCAGGCACCCTGGAGCTAACTAGTTGGGAACTGCAACCCAGGTTCAACCAATGCCTAAAATGTGTTACTGTCACTTGGCAGTGGAAAGTGAAGTCCAACAGGATTCTGCCCATGCCAAGTCTTTCAGCAATAATGAGTTGCTACCGAGAAAGAAAAGCCTTGTCCCAGCTCTCACCTCCTCCTCATGCGAGGGGGCGACCTGCGCCACATCGGCGGCGGTGGCAGCATCCTCCTGGGGGGGCTGAAGCGTCTGGGAGGTGGTCGAGGCCGTGGTGCCAGCACAGCTGTGGCTGTGATCTCCTGACCGTCAATCTGGCCTTTTCAGGGCATCACAGAAACAGGGAGAAGTAAGTATTTTCCAACACTAACATATACACTTCATATTACTGCAACTCACTGCTCTGTCACAAGCAACTGAAGTGGGATCAGCCCACGGAGTTCCACACCCTGCTCAGGGGCTATTCTGACAAACCTACTAGACTTCTTTATCTAATCTCACCAAACTGCAGTTCAGATGTAAACCTGGAAAGGTTTTCATATAAGCTTAATTTTTTTTTCCCACTGTTTTGGAAAACAAGATTAGTTTTAATAGTTCTGTGATTTCTTGGATCTGTCCAGAACCTCACAAAAGCCATTTGGACTGAAAACTGACAGTACTTTACATCTGTTCACCAAAGACATCCCTATCACCTCTAACTCATTTTCTGATCAAATCCATCTACTCTGAAGCTTTTTTAAAGCCCACAGACTCCTTGCAGGTCACTACCTACCTCCATCCATGTGTTTCAGGGCTTTCTCAGCATCATCTGGGTTTTCAAACTCCACATAAGCATAACCTTTGGAGAGGTGTGGGTTTAGCCTGTCAACTGGCATGTCAATCATTTTAATCTTTCCGTAAGTGGAAAAAATTTCCATGATGTGATCCTGCAGAGAGAGACCAAGCCTTATGAACACAGAGCACACTCACCAGCCAAGACTGGCTAGCACAGAGCAGTAAATCCACAGCACATCATTTTTTCAGCAGCCTAAACCTTTTACCCCTGAAGACCTTTAAACTACATTCTAGCAAAGACAACTCAAGCCAGCCCAGCTCTTTGCAGATCCTTTACCAAGAACTGCCCAATGTCCTTTATGCCTCCAAGGTAATTTCAGCTGTTGTCCCAAATTCTATCGTTTTCTTCCTAGTAAAGCAGGATATAAGGTCTGGAATACTGACAAAACAGGCAGACTTCTTAGGGACTACAGTTTCTCAGAAAGCTTCATAGTATTTGACTCAGTAAAATCATATGAGAATTCTCACTGATCAACTTGGACATAAAGAAACAATATCCAATAGCAATACCTTGGTAACTTGCTAGCAACCAAGGTTCAGAGAGCTTTGAAAGAGCAACTCACACTTTCTCACAGAAGAACATGAATGCTTGACTGCAAGGGTACATGCCATTATTACCTTTGTCACATTTCTAGTGAGCCTTCCAACATGCACTTTTGTGGGTCTGGGTGATGGGCTCCGCCTCTTCCGCTCCTTTTCGTCTCTCTTGGGTGGTTTGGACCTGATTTGGACAACAGAAAACATTTACAGTTTTCAGGGAACATTCAGAACAAAACCAAAGCCAGTCATTATCGCAAGATTAAAAATACCATTTTTTTGGAAGGGCATCTTTCCTGAAGAAGTTAGTTTTGGGGTGGTGGTGAGGGTGTTCCACTCACAAACACCTCAGGACTTGCATTTGTTTTGTCTGCTTTTGCTTTAGAACCTTTTGAAATTTGAGAACTTTTTTTTTGCAACTTTTCAACTTCACTGCAGCTAGGGTAACAAACACAAAATTTAGCAAGCACTTCTATGAAGTTGTGGTCATAGCTAAAGCATTTCCCAGTTGTAAACACAAGAACATTCTTTGCTTCAACAACTTAAGAGGCAAAATAAGGCCATAAAGATCACCACATACTACAACCAGGCAAATGAACAGATTCAATAATCTGTGTTTCTGTATCTTCCATTCACTAGAGGTCCAAAAATGTAAACAAATCTTTTTAAAATTAGCTGCATATCACAATGCCTTTACAGTTAAAAAAAACCAAACCTGGAAGGAAACTTCAATCTGTAAAAAAAACAAAAAAAATCCAAGAAAACCAGTATTTAGGAAATTTATCTTAATGCTTCTTCCTAATCTTAAAGTTCATAAATTGAATGATACAAAAAACCCACACAGCCTTACGCAGATTTTTATCAGCCCTCATCGCCTTACGCAAAGGAAAAACCGTACAGACATTAAGATAGATTGATTCCCCATGTTACCTTTACAGGAGCTTCCTCTGCCCTCCTTCCTATTTTATTTTTCATAAATAAGAATAAAAACATGCATATGTACAGATATATGCTGGCTTTAGCCCTAACTTTTCTGTTAGTCATGGCTGTAGTTTACAGGAATTGAACAGCTTTACTCTGATCTAGACCACTGCTACTAAGGAACCACTGATTAAAACCATCTCTAAAAAAATGTAGTATTTAAAATTTTTAAACTATTACAAATTAGGTTTTTAATCTCTGTTCCTACAGGGCGTATGTTGGATTCTAAGGAAACAGAGCACACACATTCTAACAAAATTCACATCTCTAAGTTATGGAGAAAGCACATGGTCTTCAGAGAACAATCTGTTCTGATCACAACCTTGCATGCTACAAGGAATTAACATGACATCTGGCAATTCCTAGAAGACAAATAAAACTCACTTGGAGCGGGACCGTCTCCTGTTGTCATGTCTCCGTCGAGAAGGACTGGGAGAGCCAGA